AAATCAAGAATATTAAGAAGCAGACTTTTTGGCAAAAAAGATTTTTATAGAAGAATAACATTGTAATTTTTCTGTCAAACACGTAATATAAAAATAAGTGCTTTTTATCTTCGATGTACTGATGTGCGTCATCGTTGTGACAAATCATTTTTAAGTTATTGTCACTTGAATGAGATATTTTCAAACAACTCTAATTGTTGTTTTATCATAAACATTATTACAAGTAACGTTTATCTATAAATTAAGATACATAAACAGAATAAATTTATAACAATAATTTTGTTAAATTCATTATTTGAGAATTCAAGAAAAAATTAACAAACAAAACTTTTTGCGGAAGTTATTTTCATGAAAGAATGACTTTGTAATTTTTCTGACAAATATGAGGTAGATATAAATGCTTTTTATCTATAATATACTGTGAATCATCATTTGTTCAAAACTGATCAAAGTCCCGCTTGTATAATCGCAAATCAACATAACAAATGTCGAATTCAAGTTTATATCTTTCTCTTGCTAATACAAATAACCTAAGAAATCTTACTTAAGAAATAGTAGTAATTACATTAAACAATCTACAGATTTTAATCCTAAAACTCAAAACATTCTTACGGAAAAGTAAACTGCTATTAGAAATCCCCGATCATAAAATTTACAGCTCTGTTATTATTTGTAAAACTCTCTTATTATTTGTAGATTACAATCGCAGTACAGTTGCAAAACATGGTTTTAATTAAGATACCTCTGTCGAGATCGCGAAATTAATTCCATCGACCGTTGCCCTGTGCAATCACTCGACAAGCATGCACTGGTGATTAACTGTGCCGTCGGTATCTCTCGCGATTAATCATCATTCGTATCACGTGTACATATATACGTCGCACGCGGGGAAATTATCGTCGGCAGACAGAGTGGGTTTTCGACAGGTTAATTTTCCAAACAACGACCACATTCGATTTTTTGGATAATTCATCGATTCCTCAATTTGTTCGTGGCATGCACGTTATGTAATTTTATTCGACATGGCATTTGCAATTTACGCGCGATTGCCTCGCGCATGAGAAAGACAAAGAGGCTATTAGCGGCGAAAGTTATTTAATTGTGAAATAACCGCGAGCGGTTAGCTACACTTCTCTGTCTAGTCCACTGCTAAAAATTGCACTATTCGCAATAAGCGTAAAAACAATTAAATTGTTGCTTTCGTGATTTTCGCAAAAATCTTGAAAATGATAATAAGTTGCGTGCGTAGCGAGTGCGCGAAATTAGCTTCCAATTTGTCCGTGAAATTATAGCGATAATGTAGCTTTCTAACATTAATATTGCGAAAATCCAGTTGATGCTAATCATGTATTTAATAATACTCGGTAATTAAATATAATTACCGAGTGTGCAGTTGCTTCATTTCTTGAGAAAATTAAAGGTATGAGTTTTTCTCTCTATTCCTCATATTCTTATCTCGTTTTATTAATGTCAAAATCACGCGAAAATTTTTTTGCAAATGGCAAATCAACATATTTCTCGTCTATAAATCTAGGTTATTCAGTTTCACGTGATTTCAAATTATATACTTCATCTAACTCTACAGTTTATCTCACCTTTATACTTTGAAACTATTTCTCGCTAAAAGAGAACTTATGTTGTTGATGCGGTACACCAACGCGGAAATGAAAGAAAATAGTCTCGTGATCCGCTGTTTTGAGATTGAAATGGATTCGCGTGCGACCGACATCACCGATCTACGATTTCAAAAGTAGAATATCCGAATGAGGCAGAGACGATGGCGACTGGCCTTCGTCCAGGTGAATTTCTTTGACCATGGACCTGGCACTGAACACACAATTGTGATGTGGCATTTATTTTCGAGTGTCTTTACAGTAAGAACATCCCAAAATTATCAATTTCGCAAACGAAGAATACAAAAATTTTAAATCTTCAAATAAAAATACGAAGAAAATAAAAGAAAAAAATAAAATAGATTAAATATCAAAATCTTAAAATTCATTTTTAATTATTAAATACTAAAATTTCAAAATTTAGTAAAATATCGAATTTGAACGGCTTTTTTGAACGATTAATATAAAATAAATAAATGTTAAAAAGATTTTAGGGATAAAAGATCGAAGAGTAGTGTATATATTTATGCTAGTCATTGTCTAAATTTCGAAATACTTAAATATTGAATTTACTTAGTATTTAATAATTAAGAGTGTTTCAAGATATTAGCGAATATTTACCTTATTTTAAATTGGACACTAAATATTTCTCAAAATTTAGTATAAATAAAATATTTCGAAATTTGTAATGACTATTTTAGACGATGATAGTGTACATTGTACACTTTGAAGCTGTGATCCGATTCACACCCACAACGCTCGTGAACATCATTTGTCCTTGTTTAATATTTAATGAACAAGGATGAAATGATTTCAATAGCAGTAATGAGCTTGAATCGCAACCTTAGTGTCCAATAACAGAGAATTTCAAGACTTTAGCATTATTTAGCTTCTCTTATCTTTTTCTTCTTTGTTTTATTTTTCCTTTATTTTAAGACTTAAAATTTTGAATTCTTTGTTCGCAAAATTAAGCGACCAGTAAAACAATCAAATTACACATATCAAATGCGTCATTCACAAAAGCAATATCAATTCATTTTGAACAGTTCTCTATTTTTTTTATGAAGAAAAACAAACTTTGTACTTTTGTAAACACCATCTTTTACTTGTATAAAAAATAAATATTTTCGTGATTTCTTAGAATGTGTAGAATGTAAAATTCTTTGGCATGTCACTCGTGATAGCTTTGAGCTTTGTTGATTCAGCGCTCTTAGAAAGATCAAAGCGCAGGAAACATGAAGATAGTTACCTCGAAGCCATTATCATATGTGCAGGCAATGAAGGCATTATGCAATGAGAGCATGCAAGAAAATTTTCTAGAAGGCTTTTCATCTACATCATATTCATTATTTTTCCTAGCGTGCTGTGAATCTCATTACTACATTACGATCAATATCAAATAAGATTCGTGTAACGTTATCAAAGAATTACAGCCAGGAAATATACAATTTATTTATTTATTGAAATTTTAATGAAATATTTAATAATATAATGACCTAATTTAATAAATTTTTATTGATTTAAAAAATCAAACGTAAATTTTTCGCTATAGAATGTAATAAACAAGAGAAATTAAAATTTTCAAGTATTTGAATACTCGCTTCAATTCTGAGATATTCAACTATTAAAAAATATTTTGCTCGTGTTTATCGTTGAATATATATAGTAATTATTTTAACATCTTGATACAGGTACAAAAAAAACTCGTAAACACATTTTTATTGCGTACAATTTTACACTTGCGTCGTAATCTATTATAAAAGCTAAATGATCAACAAGATAGTCAACATCAATGATTATGCAGCAAAGTACAAACATGTTTTCCCTCACTGACTCATGTGCTTTCCATTGGCGTTAACGAGTTTCGAGTGCGTACTTTGAGTGCCATCGAAATGAGAACGACTAGCTTCCGCGAGCTCAAAGCTCAGTCAGATTGACACGATGAATTGCGTACAGTGGCTATGGGCAAGTTGTATGATATATGCATAATTTTGTGAACATTCGCATAACTCTTTCTAATAAATCTCTCTTTTGGGACTTCAGAAATTTTTGACAGTGTTTAATTTTATCCATTACACTTGATAGAAAAATTTTTTTCGTAATGCTAATTATAAATATTGATTTTAATCGGATTATATTTCATAATCACGTTGTGAAGAGAAATATTTTTTAAAAGTCTAAAGTGGATACGAATGCAAAAATATAATGCAAATGATTTTGTATTTGTAGAATTCAGAAGTGGATGAATATATTTGAAGAATTTCTAGATACTTAAATAAATAGGTACTTAAAAAAAAAACACTTTGTCTTTAGTTAATTAACATTTGCCTGCAACGATTCTCGGTTCGGAAACGATGAATAAATGATCTTTGTTTCTAATAATTGGCATTAAATATGTAGATATATGCAAATTGTTATTCAACTATGTAAACAATTTTATTCTGAAGTATTATTATAACGCGAATAAATTTCACAAATTTTTTTATCGATAATGTTCAATATTATAAAATATAAGAAGCCATAAAACAATAAAACTTCTTATTACACAATTTACCCTATTTGTACAAATTAAAAAATTTAATTATTACATTATTTCTTTCGAGAAACTAGAAAAGATCAAAGTTATTTCAAACACTATGAACTTTGATTTTTTTTCGTTGTGCTCCTAAAGTGAATTTTCAAAAAAATCAAAAAAGTCAATTTTATTGACTTATTATTAATTTTCCATTTAATCAATGTAACAAAATGGGTAAAAAGAAGTAAATAATAAACATATAGGATAAATCAGGATAATTTGGATTTGAATTAGCATGTATTCAATCAAACATACAAAACATACACTATTGATGCAATTGAATACATTAAGCAATTTCAATTTTTTAAACAATTTGAAAATTTCTGTTAACCTATCCAAATTACTTCGCTTTACCCAATCATAAAACTTCTTCCTTTATTAAACGACGCATTATTACAATATATAAAACTGATGAAGCCAAAGGTCGCATCCAACGCCCTTTATAAAAATTTAATAGATAATAAAAGATAATGATTAATCACTTACTTTGAATATTAAAGACATTGTTAAGTGCTTTTAATACTTAAAAAGTAATTTCCAATATTAAATTAATCAGTATTAAATTGAATTTCTCTGAAGGGACACTTTAGTAAAGGAGGATTAATTCTGAGAGATGCAAATAATTTCCAATATTAAATTGACTGGTTTTAAATTGAATTTCTGTAAAGGACACCTTACCAAAGGAGGATTAATTCTGAGGGATACCTTCTAAACTTTATTAGAAAAGCAATTAGGATATCGCAAACAGCAGACTGCTATATCCATATAATCAATAATCTTTCGCAAGATGACGAAAATGTTACATTACTCACCTCGAGAAAAACAAAAAGATATCGAAGAATGACACAAATGAACGTTCCTCAGCCAGCACGTGACGCGAAGAGGCTTGAATGAACACTCTTGCGATTTGCGAGAGCTTTTTTTTAAACACGTCCAACGTGTTCGAGCGGTTGCATTTGATTGGAAAAGCGACTTCGAAGTTTATATCGTCACGAATCAGTTGTGGTATCGGTCTACATACGTGTGCAAATGTGTGCGTGTACGTGTAACTGACGTTGCGTGCGAAGGAGCGCGAGCGGTGCATAAACACGTCCGACTTGTACGATCGACTGAAACAAACTGAAACTACAGGCGACCGCGGTCCGAAGTTTATCGTCATGACGAAAACTGTCTAGGAATATATGTTTGTTATGTACTGGGTGTACAGAAAGAATTTAAACCAGCCGTTAAAATTAAAGATAGCAAACAATCGAAATGATTTATAGATAAGATCTGTTTCTTTTGTTTCAAAATAGCAACGTTTCAAATTACTTGAAAAAAATATGTACACATATAAGGCGCAATAATTTATTTTTTTTTAAATATGTAATTAAATAATTATTATAGTAAATAATTATTACATTAACACACAGTCAATTTTCCCTATTTTTATCATTACAACACTAAGTAAAAAATATTTAAAAATGATTAAAAATTCCTTTTTTTTTTACTTTCTTTATCTTTCAATCAATAGAGTTTTAAATAACTTCCGTGCTTTTCTACACATCAAAATTTGTATTAAATTTAACACTTTCAAACAATCCATTCTGTATTTAGAACAAATGAATAGGTTAAAACGTAACATAAATATTATGTAAAAATTAACACAAAAATGTAAATATTTTAATATAATTTGGAAATATATTTTTTCAGTAAAATCAATATTTATAATTATTATTAAATTAATTCATTTATCTTACAATTTATTTTTTTTAATTACATCATTTCTATTATTTGTCTATTTACTTATAAATTACATAATTGTATTATGTTAAATTAATATTAGGTTAAAAATTCAATACACGCAAATTTTAACAAAGATCGATTTTAAGTATAAAATATTTTTTACTGTGTGATAATCAATAATATCATATTCGTTTTACACTACAGATTATCTATCCAGGGTTACATAAAGTTGTATGTATTCACAAATGATCACGTCATTCTATACAAGAAACATGCGTGTATACGCACTTTCTGAGTGTACGTGCGACTGGTGAGACCACGCGATGTGTTTCGTATGAGGAGGAGCTTGGTGATTGGTCGTTAACGTGTCGGACCAGCGAGCCTCTTTTGCCGCAATGTAGGAGACCAAAGAAACCAAAATGTGTGAAGATTTGCGACGAGCCATATCTCGCGATTGACCACGTGTCGAAAAAACAATTTTTGTGAGACTCACGCTATCAGCAATTAGTTAATTATTGTGCGACAACAAAGACTCGACCTCGGAGGTGTACTTATGCTCCCCCATCTAACAAATCAGCGTAATTTTTTAAAACCACGTGATAACGTTCGAATAGGTCTTGAATGGGGGAATGTATTTATTGTGACATAGACTTTTTTTATTAGAACTATTATCATTAATGACACGACATGATAACTTGTGTTTTGTCATTTATTTCTTGATTTTTCTCTCAAAAATATACAATGTAATAAAATAATAATTATCTTTTAAAACATAAAATAGTTTGAAATAATTTTTCAGACAATTCTTCTTTAAAATATATATAAAATATTTTAAAAGAAATTTTTATTCAAATAACATTTATCTTTTAAAATATATTTTTAAAAACACATTTATTATTAATTATCTTATTAATAATTTAATCTAATTTAAAAGTTTGAATTTTAATACGTATCGAAGAACTTAACGATTTAAACTTATAGTCAGCGCAAACTGTAACACAATTAATGACATGAATAAAAAAATATTTCATAATGTCTTGATTTATCGTTTAAATTATTTTTAATAATGCGAAATATGATTAATATTTCAACTAATTTTCAAATCATGAAAGCAGCTAATTAAATTTTTTTTTGTTTTCTTCTTATTCGTATTTAAAGATCAAGTCGTATTTAAAGATTGACTCGTTTTCACACATATCAGCTCATTTTAATGTCGTAATATAGACGATACAAAATTGTTAACTTGTGAAATACTATTTTCGACTGATGAATTTCAAGAACGCATATAAAGAACGCATATTGTTTAATATTCAGCTTGAAATAGAAAAAAGAAGAAAAAATTTTAATTATTACGAAACAATGATATAAGACCTGTTCACCGCGCATTTTTGCAGTAATGTCACATTGCATGTATATTATATAATATAACGAGGTGAAAGTTTCTTTTTACGATAATCGTTAAAAAACATATTTATTTAAGGATGTATATGTGTGTCAAATTTCAAAACATTAAATATATAAAAATTTCAGATTGTTCTATTATTACTTTTAAATATTTGTGTAAAATTTGAATAAAATTCTCTCATTGATTTAAAAGTTATTTGTTTGTCTCTATTTTTATGTAAAATATGTAATATAATATACAAAATCGTTTTGTAATATCATAATATTTGCAAATTTGGTGAAGAAATAACATTAAAAATTAAATCAAATTTTATATACTATAATACTATATATTATAATAACTATAATAATAAATAATTATTGAAAGATTTGGACTACTTATTCCTTTAAAAATTATTGGCCTACTAAAACTATGTGCAGCAACAAAATATGATTATTTTGCTGCATTATAAGTCAAATTATTTGTTGCTTTATTTTTTTTTGCAATTAATTTTAGGACGTATTCACGGGCTAGTAGCATCAAAATTTTTTTATATTAACTTTTTTTTGGCTGATTGTTTGATTAATATTTTTAGCTAATTGTATAGTCAAAACATCCTTAATTACGTGTCTTATACAAGGTCATATGTTTATATAATTACTATTTTTAGAAATTAGCATAACTTGTGATATTATTGTTGCAATATTGTTTTGTTTCAATTATTTCACAAGAGTGCTAAGCGCTCTTGGCACTGTTTTCATTTATCGGAATAAATATTCGTGACTCTAGAGACAAATATTGATTCTAGTTCGTTACAAATACGAGTAACGGCTCTGTAAAATATTGAAAAGAAAATTGCAAAAATTATATTAAAAAATTGTCTATTTACATATCTATTAATTTACTATCATAGTCACAATAATAAATCGAGATAGTACTTCGCTTTGTTTATCAATTCAGGGACGAATATAGAGAATTGCCTCTCAAGAATTGCCATTATACTTTTATCCATATGACGCACAAAGTTGAACAAAGCAATCGCGTGTTATCTGCTATTGTATAGTCAACACGATGAGAGCTACGTATATCCTGCTCGTCGGTTCATAACAAGAAAACGTACGGGTATTGTTGACTCGTTATAATTTCTGCTACGTAATACAAATCATATAATATAAGAAAAAAGCAGCACTGTCTTACATACACATTTGTTCATACTCAATAACTTTCAAACCGGTTCGAAAAACAAGGTATATCTACAAATATTTCTTCTCTTTACAAATTTATTGTATAAAAATGTGTAACCGACATTAATTCAGTAAACGATTTAAAATTGTAAGTGAAACAAATAGTTTAAGTACGTGGCATATTAAAAACAGCTAATGGAGTTGTTGATTATCGAACTAATTAAGATTTTGACATGTTGGCTGATATATACGTAGAGAGCCATTCAACTTGATCATTGATCATCGTACAAAATATCAAAGTGCCATTCTCAGAAAATATTGGGTTGACAAGGAAGTAAATGCGTTGTTTTAGCTCAAAGTTGTATATACAATATCTTCGTCAATAATAAATGAAATTTAAAAAAAGGGATTTTTTAAAGTTTGAAATCTTTACTTTTTAAAGTTTACCATATTTTTTAAGTTTATATGAATTTGATTTTTTTTTTATTGAACATTTCTCTCAGTGTATTTAGCAGAAAACCAAAAATTTAGAAAAAATATAAAAGATTTAATAATCTTGAAATCAGAAATGCGGAAAAATTAAACTCTAAATGTATACGGAAAGATCGATTTTCGAAAAATTTTCTTCTCACTTTGTGAGTTTGTAACGTGCTCAAAATAAATTTGAGAAAATTTTCGACTACCTATCGAAAGCTTGATACTTTCTCTACAAAATCGTTTTTTTTAAATATTCCTACAATTTTTGGTTACTGAATTATCGCCAAATTAAATAAAAGGATCATTTTGACTTTAATTGCTCATAACTCCGTTAAAAATTGTCGTATCGTAATTTAAAAAAGAGATTCTTAAAGCTGAAACTTTACTCTATCAAGATATGTTTATATTGGTTGGTAAGAAAGTAATTGGTTTTAAAACTTGAAATCTTTACTTTTAAAAGTTTACCACATTTTTTAAGTTTATATGAGTTAAGTTTATATAAGTTTGGTAATTTTTACTGATAGATGCCTTTTAAAAAAACACAATTATTTTTTTGCCAACTCAATACAATTGAATAAAAATACAATAGGATTTTATCGTTCATGTTAAATATTTTTATCTTATAATGTACTTAAGATATCATATATGACGAAAAATATACATGGAAAGACGGTTTTGCTGCAGTATCATCAAAATAATTCTGTAGGACGATTAAGCTGATTGTCAGAATGTTAAAATTTTTACAGCATTACGTTAAGCTTAAGTATCCTATATAATTATTTTGATGACAAGATTTTCTCAGAGATTTAGCTAAATTTTTGAATACACAAATCAATCTTTCCGTATACATTTGGCGCTTAATTTTTCCACGTTTCTGAATTCAAGATTATTAAATCTTTTATATTTTTTAAAATTTTTGGTTTTCTGCTAAATACACTGAGAGAAATATTCGATAATCATTTATTTTGTTGATATGACTAAAATAAATTTTCTTATTTTTTTTATTTAAAAATCGTGCTAATCAAAATCTAATCAAAATTTGTTTAAACTAAATTTTGATTAGAACACAACACAATTTTAGTTACTTTTACTCTAATCCAATTTTGATTAAGACAATACAATTTTTAAATAAAAAAGTGAGAAAGTTTTTGTTAATCACATATCAACAAAATAAATAATTGTACTCCCCAAAACATTTCTTTCACTATATAATTTTCTACAATATGCCCTTATACGCGTCAACGACAATCCTGCTCACGTTTGTCAATCTTCTATCCCGAATCTCTCATCTGTACAGCTTCCCCTTGCGTTGGCGGTGCAGTCTCTAAACTTTCTCGCGATATCCCTTTCCGCGATAGCAGATGGTCTGCCT